CGCTCTTAGAAGCTCGTTTCGCGGCTACGGTAATGTTAGTGGCCGTCGTTATCCAGCCCCTAGCGGATTTCGATATTTCTCCAACCAAATTTGCGGTTGAATTAATCCGTTTTAACAGGATTCCGGGCTAAGATAACGAAGGTTCTCGTAATAACGTTTGCCACTGGCGTGTTAAAGCTCGCGTAAAGTTCGAAGACTTGGAGAGATAGATAACGCGAAGCGAACGTGCACATTTATCGGCCGTAGCTATTCCGCAACTTTCCTTCGGAGTTTCGCGAAATAACTTTTCTTTCGCGTCGTTTATTTCACGGTGATCGTGCTACTTTACCTTCAATTTCCTGCCTCATCGTTTACCTATCGAACAACGAAAACAAGTAGCAAAGTTGTCGCGACAAAGTTCCCCGACGTCGCATCGCATCGCATTGTCTCGCGTTTGCATCGAACGAGACACGGGAATCCGGAGTAAATCATCGATCGCGGCTTTACGATTAGTGTTTTATTGAATGTATAATTATAGCGTAATATTTACATTGATTCCGTTTACCACGACATGAACGCGATCGTGAACACGCGACAGCTGGCGAAATGGCGCGAATTTCCCTCACGAATCTCCGACAACCGACGATTCGTTCGCGATCGAATAGATCTTTCTCGCGTTCTCCCGATCCTCCCTTCCCGGATCCATGGGAACGCGAAAGCTTTCGCTTCGAAAGGAGCCGTCGAAAGAAATCGCCGAATCACGAACGGTATCGGAGATTCGAACAAGTTCATCTCGAGTTCACGATGTTTCACTTACATCCTACGTATGTGTACATGTACGTGTCTGTGTGTTTTCCGTGTGTAAGCGTCTGTGTATGTATTTATGTATATATATATATCTATGTATATGTGTACATTTATATATGTATAACGCACGTACGAAGAAAATGGTTCACTCATCGCGCACAACGACAGATACTAACGAGTAGAAGATCGTCTTCGAATCGACGGGGCACCTCGCTCCTCTCTGGCCACGAAAAGATGGACGAAACTCTGGAGAACGAGAGGATGGCTAGAGGAACCCCTTACCGTCTCGCTCGAATTTCGCGTCGGTCTCGCGCCGGTTTCGCGCCGCGCGTCGTCCCATATCCGGGAGGTTAAAAGCGAAACGTATCCTATCGCGTACTTTTAGATCAATTCCAGAACCAGGAAGATAATCGTTATTCCGACCACGCCCACGTTTCTCGAGACAAAGAAATTACGAGATAACAAGGGAACTCGTGACGAACGGGACAGGAGACGAGAGACGCGGGACAAGGGACAGCGGTTAGAAGACAGGAGGGAATAAAACAAAAGGATTCGTCGGTGGTTAAAATCCTGCCCTCGCGATCGAACGGCGGCGGTCCCTCTCGAGGAGGGTCGTGCACGAGTCTGGCTGGTACGAGATTTCCTGCCGCGACGGACAATGGATGAAAAGAATCTCGCTACACGTAAGAGGATCGCGGTCCGAAAGCGTCGGTGTGGTACCATTTGTGTTCGTACGCGAACTAATACACTCGACGACGTTCCGACTTGGACGCCGATGCGAGTATATCGTCCTCGTGGGTTCGATCGGAGTTAGAGCTGAAAAGACGAGTCCCGAATGACCGACCGATCGTTGGACTCGTCCTTGCGGAAGAAGATGGACCGGGTTGCGGTGGTACGGGTACGACTAACAGCAGTCGTTCCCATAAGTTCGGCCGTGATTCATGTCGGGTAAAGGCTGGTGAAACTCGGTATCCTCCAGCTGACGGTCGCCAAGAGGGACACCAGGAAGTTGCTCGCCAAAATTGCCGGACCAAGGTTCCTTCTGTCTCCGCCGTGCATCGCCGCCGGTTTCTCCTCCTCTGAAACGAGATTAGAAACTCTGACTCGATGGCTACGAGAAGAGAAACCTTTCTTCGCGTAGAATGACCGAGCTAAAACGAGAGAAAGTCTCGCCGGACAAGAATGCCACGGTCTTAGACGCGATGAGAGAAAGGACATTTTCGTGGAGGAGCGGTAAAATACCCCCGAGAGCGACTACGACGTTTTAAACGAGCTCGCCTGCTCGTGGACACCGAGAACTAAAGCTCCGAACGAGACGAGCCTCGTCTCTTGTTCCTCCTCTTTCTCTTACCACGCGCAAACTTCTCTCCTCGGTACTCGGATCACGCGCGCACCGATCTCTCGAACATTGAGCGCAAGCCTTCCGACGAGATGTCCAAGCCCGCGCCTCGAATCTTTCTCCATCGGATTTTTATCGAACTTTTGAAATATCGACGCTCGTTCGCGAGACAAAACGTTCCGTTTTCCCTTGCGCGCTATTCGCCCCTCGTTACGCGGTTCCTCGACGAAGCGTCGCGTCGTAAAGTAAACCGATTTTACTCACCTTCGATCACGTGAACCATCACGTATGCCGGTTTAGCGTTGTTCGGCGCGCATGTATAGTTACCGCCGTGCGACGGTCTCGTTTTGTTCACCGTTAAAATCGATCCGTTCTTGGTCAGCTCGACCTCCACGCCCGTTTCCTCGTCGTAGTTGATCATGTGGCCCTGACGATACCAGAACACGTAAACGGGCGATTCCGCGGCTGCCTTTAGTTGACACTCCAACCGAAGGCTCGAACCTTGCTTCACGTGTAAATCGGGCGCCCCGGGTATTACCGAGTACGCTTCCGTGATCTTCAGGTGGACGAAATCGTGTTGCACCGGATGCGACGTAACCTGAAATTGTCAACCGCATGATCCTCGCGTTGATATCCGGTCCCGCGAAATTTGAAAACGGCAAAAGAACGTTTGATAGAATGGATTAAAATATCGAGACGCGTTTCGTGCTCGCGACGATACGCGATCGCATCGTGTGACGCGCTAAATGATGCTCGAGTTTAAAAACAGCAACGTTGTTAACCTTTGCTCATCTCCTATCTTTCGAACCAACGTTTCGGATGATATTTAGCACGGTATGATGTCGAGAAAAAGAAATCTCGGTGCTTGTAATGGCCGGTAATGTAATTAAACGACTGTACCGCGGGTGCACCGAGATTATTACGCGTATTTTATCATGAAAATATTCTTCCATTTTGTTTCGCTCCTTTTATACACGCCGAAAGAAACGTTCCATAAAAGTCACTGTAATATGTTGTCGTAAATTTAAAATATGCAGGCTGTTTTACGTTGAAATAAATGTTGCCCGCGTTGCAACGTCGCGACAGGGCAAAGCGTTATCGTGCCGAAGAAACGTGCCTTTTATTACGCATAGATACATCGTCGAGTATACCTGACACTCGTATATGCCCTCATCCTGAGGAGTAACCGCTCGTATCTGAAGTAACCAATCGGAACTCGAATGCATCACGACGAATCGATTGTCGACCGAGTGGGTAATCGTGCCAACGGTTAATAACCGTCGGTTCCTACGCTTTATCCATGTAATCTGCAACATGATCGAGAAGAAGAGCCGCGATGAAACACACGGTACTCGTCGAAAAGTTTCGCGTATGCTCGTTACAGGCAATTGACCCGTCTTTTCTTTCAATTGCTCTTCGTCGAATTAAACGAACGCCGGATAAAAAAAAAAAAAAAAAAAAAAA